TTGCTACGCCCTTGTTTATACATCTACAGATGTATAAAGCCTTTTAAGTCTCAGGATCAGACTGGGAGCTGATGTTCCGTGGGCTGTGTCTGGATTTCCTTTCAGAGCCACAGCTGCCAGAATACAAGTCTGGCTTCCAGTCTCTGCTCTTAGATGCATGATTTTGCAGGTGGCTACATCAAAATGTACTTTGTTTAAGTAACCCCAGTTTACCAGATCTCTGTAGCCATCTTGCCCTTATCATTATGTGTCTGTCCACCAATCCTTTACTTCTAGATCATTTATAAGTTGAAGAGTATCAGTACTGGCACTGGTCCCAGCTGAAGCCCCTTCTGACCCCTTCCAGAAATACACCCATTCAGTGATTTCTGAATCACAGCTACTAATCACAATCAGTTTAGGGGAATATTTCTGCAATGCTGGGATTTATTAAAGGTTAGCATCGTACGTATACCACAAGTCTCCTGAGATAATGATTTCAGGAGTAACTTATATGGAACTGCCATTTTTATTTTCTGATGAACAGAAAACATTGCCTAACTTTACCCTCCCTCAGCAAATAGTCTGAAACAGTATTTTATTGTCTTCATTTGATGTGAGTCCATATTATTTTCAAAAACAAACCAGAAGAAAATTACTGAGTATTTCTAACCTTCCACATTATCAGCCTTTTTACCACCACCATTTAGTGACTGTTTCCAGTACCATTACTGTGCTTTCTTTTCCTCTCAATGTACTTGGAAAAAATCCTCCTTACAGTTGTCACACATTACTCCAAGTTATCCTGGCTTCCATTGTCATTTTCTGCTCGTTATTAACTCCAATTTATATCAAGCATTAATTGTTCCCAACTTTCTGCATCTCCTATTGTGGTTGTTTTTTTTTTTAATTCTAATTCCTACTTTTACTCCACCAGTGAACTGTGGTAGGCTTTCAGCCAAAAGCAGCTATTTCTTGACTGGGAGTCATGACTTTTGAATAAACTCTTCTCATAGAAATCCTATTTCCACTCATATCTTTTCCTATCTATGTTTTCCTTTCCCTTTGCCTCTCACATACTTCTCCTCTTGCATCAGATTTTAACAGTGCTCTGTTGGTGTCCCTTATCTCCATATCAAAGTAATCTGAGTCAGTAATCTGTAACAAACCTTCAAATTATTGCTTTTCTGAACTGTAGTTTGAAAGCACCACAGAACTGAATTCCCCATCCTCTATTTTGCTTCTTCACAAGCTTTCGAATCTACACTAGTACCTTAGGCTTTCTCCCATCCCCTTCCTCCCATAGTCCCAAGGATAAACTTGCAGAATGTAGCACTGCCTGACCATGGCTAGAGTAAAATCATCCTTCCCCTCCGTTTTCACTTTCCCTATCATGCCAATGCCTGACAAGTGACTTATTTCATATCTATACTACATTAGGTCATCAAGTGAAAATGCTGTAGTCATGCTAGGAATTATTGCTATTTGCTTTGCCATTCTATTATCTACAAGACCACATAAAACTGCCACAACTCTAGTTCCTGAAATGCTATCGCCCAGGTTGCCAAACTCCATGCAGCAGAAAGGACCACACTGGCAAGCTGCCAGCAGCTGAAAGGCTACATCTAATTGTGCATTAAGTTGAGCAGATTGTCTGCTTAGATGAGAGCAAACAAGCTTATCTTTAATGCAGACATATGGCCCACAAAACCTACAGATCCCAGCATGCAACATTCTGGCCAGCTGGCCATTTGGATCAGAATGAAGCATTACATGATCTGATACTGTGGTGACAGAAGATCAGTATCGCAATCCCTCCATGTTCAAAAATCATGAGTCAGGCCACTCAAATTCATGAGTTTGGCTGAGAGAGCTGGAGATTTTAAAGGGGATAAACGGACTTAATTTGGTTTTGAGACAGGGTTCATGTTATCCCACTTCTCTCTACAATCATTAAAAAAACATGTTTTTTAATAAAAGTTAAGTCACGCAGTCACTTGCCCCTGGGAGCTGAGACACCAAGAAAAAACAGACTCACACTATGGTTAGGGGAGGAGCAGTAACATATTCTCAACTCTTAAAATGCACAGATAACCTGATGGATAGATGCAGAGACAGAATCTGGAACCTGCAATCACCACAGGTATCACTGGTAAAGATAAGGGTGGCAGACAGTTTTGTTACAAAACTCCAGGTTTTCCAATCTTGCACTAAACTCTCTGCTTTTAGCATTGTTTCCTTTATTCAACCCAGTTTTAACTTCCCTTCTTCCCACCTCTCAGCTGTCATATAAAATCTTCTCTCTGCCTCCAACTTTCCATTCCGTAAAACACCTCTGCTCTCCTATAATGACACACCATACATTTTATGACAGTTAACCCCCCTGACAACCATCAGAGATGCTCAGTCTCCAATTAATAAAGAAAACTATTCAAATAGAGTTGTTACTTTTAGACAGGCTCAAATCAACCCTTAGTCTCTCAGTTCTGTTCTTTACGTCTTTCAAGATGCTTGGGGAATTCTAGCCAATGCAGGCTGGGAGCATCACTCAGAGGTCGCTCACCCTCGGTCCACTTTTTGTGTATTTGTTGAGGGCAGAGACAATTCTGGCATCAGTCACAATTCTAGATGCAGTAGATTGGGGAGTTCCTATTTCTGCTCTGACTGGTCAAGAGAGGCTCTAGCCAGGAAACACAAGAAAAGCTTCAGGTCAAAATTAGAGGATTTGCCAGAGCTATGAACAATGTGTCAGGAAATAGAAAAAGCACTGTCTGCTCTGGGCCAGGACCAGTGTGCACTGGCAGAGTTGAAGGAAGGTCACCCAAGAACCAGAGTTTGAGTGCCTTGCAACCAGGATTGAGTGACTTTGGCAGAGCCATGCTGATAAAATCAGCAGAAAGCCTGTCTGCCTTCTGTTCTTTTTTCCCTCCGCATTTTCAAAAGTAACCAGTACTTTAGGCAACCTGAATGCTTCTTAAAGAGGGGTGGGTTGATCTTTCTTTAATGTCAGAGCTCCTATCCGCGTATGATAGAGTGCAATTAGAGAGGCTACATGCCTTGCCGATCCTGTAACCAGTTCCTGTCTTACTTCCTTTGCCTGACAAGCTCATTCCATCAATCCCCAGGTTCAGTCCAAAAAAAAGAGCAGGACAATACAGCCAGTGCTGCACAGGCACCATGATGAATCTTCTCCTCTTCCATTAAAAAGCACTCAGCTGCACTTGAGCTCAGGTAGTCTTTGAGAGGTAACTTTTTTGAGGAGTCTGAGATCTGCACCAACAGCAACAACCTCCCAAGAAGGGGGCAAAGGTTCACGCTTACACAGACCTCAGGTTGCCACAGGAAGACAAACGTGACAGTGGCACAGCTGAGCCCCACTTTTTATCTGCTGCTGGATGAAATAGAGCTACAAGGCAAATTTGATTTAAAGACTTCCACAAAACTGCCATGTTCATGTCTAACATACAGCATGACCTACAAGTTGCCTGGTCCCTTGAACTAGATGAGAAACACTGCAGTATGAGATCTGTAGTCTTTCGAATGTGCCATTCTCCATCACAGCTGAAGGTGGCTAAAACCAGCTCTGTGATGCAAATTAGCCTTCAGGCTCTTAGCCCTTCGAGCCTGTTTTCTAGTGGAAGCATAGAAAGCATGGCAGAGTTATGTCCTGCTACAGTGGCTTTGTGTTTTCAGGCCTCACAAAATTAAAGTCTCCCTACCACAAACCACAGAAAAAAAGAGGGGAAAAAAATGCAGACAGTAGCAATGCCTGAACTACCACTAGGAACTGCAGGTAAAATTTTCTTAGGAGGTAGCTAGTACCTAATTCCCCTTGCAATTCTCCATTTTGAGTCAAAAGGGCCAACTCAATGAGCCAGTGTATGTAAAAATGTGCAGTCTCTCCATACTACACCTCTGGAAAATGACTGCAGCAAGGACACTCCCAGTAAATCGAAGAATGGTTTAGATTTTAGCGCTGTTTATGCTCTGAACAGTCAAAAATGTTCAGAATACAGGCAGGAGCTCACCGGGTTCATTCTCAGTTCTTTTTTGCCAAAAGAAAGATTGGGAGATATAGATACATATATATATATGTGACAAAGTCTGAAAAGCTGTTTACAGCGCTGGCAATTCACTGTCCTTCCAGCCAATTCCATCTGGCACAGGACACCTACTATCCTATCCTGCTACTCCAGGATAGGCATAAAATAGCAAACCTAAGTCCTGGTTGTGTCACAAGAATCCTTCTAGACAGCAGGATGTGGAAACGCTTGGCCCAATCCAAAAAATGCGGCAAATCAGCAAAAAGCAGTTAGAAACAAATAACAAGTCATTCCCATCTCTTTAGAGAAATATCCTGCCAAAGGAATCCCTGGAAGAGGTTCTAAATACATTTAAAAGGTGTCTAGCAGAACTGTACAGATGTGAACTGAAGATACATTCCAGTATGCACACGTTCCTTTCTCCTTCCACAGTGTGTAATCCCGCTAGAGTACAGACTATTCCACACTACAGCATTTCCAACACAGTTTATCAAAGAAAAGTTTGAATTCAGCCTCTCAGAGATATCAGCTCAGTGTTAATGAGAGTCCATTTAGATAAAGAAGAGCAATACTGGGTGGGACAAGAGGTGTGAAATACTTCAAACCACTTAAATTCTCCCTATCAGTGATGGAGTTATCTCTCCTGGTAGGGACCCCAGCTGTCACAGGCTTTACAGAAGTCAGGAGGGAATATGGCCCTCAGGCAGAGGGGTTAACTGCTGGTATGGCCAGAATACCTGTTGTGAGAATGTGACAGCCCTCGTACACTTACATCTTACCACTGTAATCATTTATAATCACTTAAAAAAAGGAATTAAGTACAATATTTAGTAAAGAATAAAGTTCCTTTACAGATTCACAGGAGCTTCTCCCAAGCACACCAACTCCCCAGTAACCCACACCGTGTCACGTCGGCATTTCCCAGGCTACTCAGACTGCCTTTCCTCGCATCGCATCTCTTCATTCTGATAAATTTACCTGGTGGAATATCATGTTCCAGAGAGTCTAGAAAGTCAGTGGATGGGTCCAGGTCAGCCTTTTCCAGGAGGGTTTTATTCTTCACATTAACAGGCTCAGTAAAATGGAAATAGGAACTTAACTTTTTGGCCTCCGTCAAAGAAAGACCTGCAACAACCATTGGCGATCATTAATACAGTGAGCTGGGCTAACATACGTTATACCATAGAATGTCACATTGTTTCTCTAACACCCACAGCATAGGACAGAATCACAATCTTTCTCCAGTGGACTCCACAGAAGACCAAAGACTTCCCAGAAACAGGTGGCAGTACTCCCTGATGCTGTGCTAACTGCAGTCCCAGGTAAGCAGTGGGCACTGTGTCAAAACCAACTCTCAGTGCCCATTTGGTTGCATCCTACATCTAGAGGGAGCATTCACTGCAGCTATAATTGCTAAACACTGACATAAACTATCCACAGACAAATGAAACTACAGGTTCAATGACTCAGAGCCATTATTGACTTTCCTCCCACCTCCCAGAGCTGAATCATGCACCTGAACATTAGTGGCATTGGATTCTCTCCTCCCTGTTCATCTTACCCGAGGAAAAAGTAAACCTGAAATCAAAACATCAGCTAAAGTTATCTTCATTTACAGCCTCTGTGATCAAAGTACAGTTGATCCTGAGGACGACAATGAGAATTTACCTTCAAAGTTTCTGTTTTCACGCACAGACCCAAGAGGAGTCTTCACAAATGCCCCCCGGGGGACAATACCAACTGCTCTGTCTATCTGCTCTATCGTAGCTACGAGGCGGGCCTCCTCCTTGATCACAGGCTTTAAAGAAAAATAGGCAAATTTTAAAGGCAGGGCTTTCCTTGTTGTCATTTCTGAAAATAAACTTGAAGTGACAATAGAAACCACAACAGACTCATCAGCTTGGGAGCCCAATGGCACTAAGAGGACCACAAATCGAACATTCTTCTCATAAGAACGTGGCTAGAAGCAGACAGTCTAGGCTCAGCAGAAAATTAACTGTTCCTACTTTCATGCATCCTTTCCTCCCTCTCAATAAGCTACTTATGACTTCTCTATTCACTGCGAAAGAACGGTACCTGCAGCTCCTATGTAACGCTTCAGACACAGCGGTGAGAATCTGCAGCAATTGTGCATGACAAAACGTAAAGGAGAAAGAACATTTCTGAGCTGTGCCTAACTCCAGGAGCGACGGAAGTAAGAGCTCAATCCAGAAGCCATTGCCTCACAGGGACAGCAAAGAGGAAACCGTGTGCGCTCTGCCTGAGCACGTGCTCAGGGTGCTTACTGCAGACGAGGAGAAGCCACCACCCGCACAGCTGTAAGTGACCCTGCTTCGGCAGGGGGTTGGACTAGATGACCCACAGACGTCCCTTCCAACCCCGAACATTTGGTGATTCTGTGAGAGGTGCAGCTGCCGCAGAGAGACCTCGAACGTGTTCCGCTGCATTTACCTCCTTGCCCTCTCCAAACCATCTTTCGGCATCTTCCGCATTTATCTGGGCGCACGCGTACTCAGCGGCAGGATCCCCCTGGAAGCGGCCCCTCAGCCGCTCAGCCTGCGCCACCATCTCCTCGGTCG